TATGAAAATACCAACAGCATATTTCACAGACCTAGAACAAACATTTCGAAAATTTATATGGAACCAAAAAAGACCCCGAATAGCTGCAGCCATCTTGAGAAAAAAGAACAGAGTGGGAGGGATCACATTACCAGACTTCAAACTGTATTACAAAGCCACTGTAATCAAAACGGCCTGGTATTGGTACAACAACAGGCATATAGATCAATGGAACAGAACAGAGACCCCAGAAATAGACCCACGCCATTATGGTCAGTTAATATTTGACAAAGGAGGCAAGAGTATCCAATGGAGTAAAGACAGTCTCTTCAATAAGTGGTGCTGGGAAAATTGGACAGATACATGCAAAAGAATGAAACTAGACCACCAACTTTCACCATACACAAAAATAAACTCAAAATGGATAAAAGACTTAAATGTAAGTCACCAAACCATAAAAATCCTGGAAGAAAACATAGGCAGTAAAGTCACAGACATCCCACGTAGTGGACTTTTCACTGATACATCTCCTAGGGCAAGAGAAACAAAGGAAAAAATAAACATATGGGACTACATCAAACTAAAAAGCTTCTGCACAGCAAAAGAAAACAGCCTCAAAATACAAAGGAACCCCACGGTCTGGGGAAACATATTTGCCAAGGATGAATCTGATAAGGGGCTAATTTCCAAAGTGTACAAAGAACTCATAGCACTCAGCAAGAGGAAGACAAAAACCCAATTAAGAAATGGGAAAAGGGCCTGAATAGACACTTCTCCAAAGAGGACACACAGATGCCAAGAGACATATGAGAAAATGTTCAACGTCGCTAATCATCAGAGAGATGCAAATTAAAACCACACTGAGGTCTCACCTCACACCTGTCAGAATGGCTCCATCAACAAATCAACAAACGCCATGTGCTGGCGAGGGTGTGGAGAAAGGGGACCCTGGGGCACTGCTGGTGGGAATGCAGACTGGGGCAGCCACTACGGAAAACAGTATGGGGGGGTCCTCAAAAAATTAAAAATGGAGCTGCCTTTTGACCCAGTGATTCCACTCCTAGGAATGTATCCTAAAATCCTGAAACAGTAATCAGAAAGAATATATGCACCCCAATGTTCATAGCAGCACAGTTTACAGTAGCTAAGATCTGGAAACAGCCCAAGTGCCTATCACTAGATGAGTGGATAAAAAGCTGTGAGACATTCACACCATGGATACTACGCAGCTGTAAAGAAGAAGGATCTCGTGCCCTTTGGGACAGTGTGGATGGACCTGGAGAACATGCTGAGTGAGATAAGCCAGGCAGAGGAAGACAAACATCACATGATCTCACTTATATGTGGAATATGAAGAACTTAATAAACTGATGAACAGAATAGATTCAACCAATGGAATAGATTCAACCAATGTCAGAGGGAGGGAGGAGGGCCCGTGGGTGGAGGGGGAGAGAGTAACTAAAGAACTAATATGCAGATATGCACAACCCAGGACACGACAATGGTGGGGAGAGGGACTGGGAGGCAGATGGGACGGGGTGGAAAGGGTCATTGAGGAGAAAAAGGGACATCTGTAATGTTTTAAACAAAAATAAAATTTAAAAAAAAAAAGAAAGAAAAGTATAAGAATGTCTCCCAAATAGAATATATCAATAAAAAGATAAAAATAATCAAAAAACAACTAGGAACTCTGCAGTGCAAAAGTACCAAAAAAAAGAATGAAAGAAAATTTCGAGGAGTTCAGCAGCATATTTGAGACAGAAGAGAGAACTGGTGAACTTGACAATGGGCCCATCGCACTTACCCAGCGTGAGGAACAGAAAGGTAAAGAGAACTTAACATGGCCTCAGAGGCCCCAGCTAAAAGGGATATTAACAAATGAATGATGGTGTCAGGAAAGAAGGGCGATAGTCCAGGGACAGAAATAATATTTAAAGAAATAGGGGCTGAAACGTCACAAATGTGGTCAAACTGGTAAACTACCCTCATTATATTAATAGAAGGTAAAGGTTATTCACACAGGTAACATGGCCTCTGCTTCACCACAGGTCACTGTGATCTCTGCTCAGGTTACTCACATAACAATCACAGGGGCAGTGTGTGTGGGGGGGGAGGGAAATAGCCTCAGTGGGAGGTCGATCCCCCAGGCACTGGTGTGTGGAGCCCACGGGGCCTTTTAGCAAGTGCATCCCAACCCCTCTGACTTCTCCCCAGACCAGGCACCAGGGGCAGGGGCTCAACCTCCATGCCCTCTGACTGCCCAGTGCACCTGGCCTCCATCAGTGGGTCAGTGGGGTCCAGGGGAACACAGAGCCACACCAGCTATTCAACAGGACAATTTCACATAGCAATAGGCTGCAGGCAACACGTGCAGGAAGCAACTGGCGCCCTGTGGGGGACCCAGGGGAGATGCTCACATGATCAGAATCTGGAAAGGTGGAAGGGGCCCCAGCACCAGAGACCCAGACTTCTGGGCCACCTAGTAGGAGCCCTGCATGGAGACCGTGAGACCTACACAGCCTCAGGCCTGAGGTGCGGAATGGACCGGGTGGCTCCAAGCCGGGAAAAGTCCCCAGGACTCACCCCAGTCCTCCTTGACGAGACAAGTCCTGACACAAGTGACAGGGACAGAAAATTCATAATTGGACTGCAGAATTTCCCCCCAATTTCTTATGTCACTTGACACGTAGATTTCTTCCACCCTCTTAGGACCCGCCCAGATCACCAGTTTTGGAAACAACAGGAAACAGACATTTCTGAGAAATCAGAACTACCTGGGGGAGGGAGGGGCCTGAGCACTGTCCCAGCATCTGCACCCACACTGCTCAGGTCTCTGCTTCAGGAAGCTTTCACCTGCTTCACCTGGGACCACAGCTGCTCCCCAAAGCCAGAGATGATCAATCAGGAACATGAGGTGGTCAACCTGGGGGGTCCCCAGAACTCAGGGCCCATGATGTCCACCGTGGTCAACATCCAGACAGAGACC